TGATGGCTGACGTGAAGACGTCATTTGTAGCTTCGTCTTTCAGTTTCTGTTCTGGGTGTTGAAATTGGAATATGGTCTACCACCAACTTCCTTGAAAGCTTTCAACTTGATTTGGAAGGTCCCTTGCGCTAAATGGTGAGTGGTCTGAGCCTACATCTTCTCCTCTTATTGACCTTGTGTAAAGTAGATAGCGTCTCCACTTTCTTGAGATCGAAATAAAGTCGATCTGATTTTTATTGTGTCTGGTGTCTAGTGAAATCCATGTCGCTTTGTGGATATCCTTGTGTTTGTTCAACTGCCTCCATATCACCAAATGGTTGAATGCACACAATTCTGCAAACAATTCTCCATTCTCATTCATCACCTCACCGAGCACTTCTTGACACATGGTTAGTTCTCTTCCTGTGTTGTCCACTACGAGTTTGGCATTCATGTCGCCCATTAGAATTTTGATGTCGCCAACTGAGGTCTTGTCCAGTGTTGATTGCAGTTGTCTGTAGAATTCCTCCTTCTTATCTTCATCTGCATTATTTGTAGGTGAGTAGCATTGTAGGATTGTGACATTCCCTCCCTTTGAGTTTGATCTAGCTGCCATGATCCTGCATGAGGAGATTTATTCCCACTGCGTGAAATCCTTCGATGTTCTTGAGGAAATCATGTTCGCCACTCTATAACTCAGTGTGCTCATGGTTGTCGTGTGGGTGATAATATTGGAGTAGATTATTGACTCTGTGGTTGACAGTTTGGAGAGTCCACTTCCATTCCATCTGCAGATTCCTCACAGATTCCAATCGCGTCTCTGCTATATCTTCTTATCTCTTTTGCAATCATAGCAATCTTGCTAGTTTCATACATTGTGCAGACATTCCATGTTCCCACGTTTACTTTCGCTTTCATTGGGAGAAGCCAAGACACATCAGCCAACTGGCTTCCTGAAGTCTTTCACCAACTGGCGTCATTTTGTCTTTCCGATTCCAGTGAGGAAGAATAGGTTTATTTTTATGTTTTATATTTTGTCTGTGCTTTGTGGGGTAGGGTTGCTAGCCGTATGCCCAACCTTCCCTCTTTAGGCGAGCTTAGGACTGGCTAGTAATTAGTGAACTAGTAAATCAGGAGAGGTTACTTTAACATAGTGCGTTCTATAAACTATTCGAAATAGTCGGTCAAAAAACAATACAATTCAGCTTTATTTGTAACCCTACAGATGAGAATTGAAGATCTTTAACCCATGCACGCAGAATGCACTTAATTTATCACACATGCATATACCTGTAAACTGCCGAAACAAGTCAGTTTACTAATTTTCTTCAATATAAATGTCCTCCGTAACCAGTAGATTATTAGGATGTCCCACTTGAATTATCCTCATCATACTATTGTTACCTCAAGTTATCGATTATGTTCCAAAAATTCACTTTTTTTAATGCAGTACTTACATGAATGACGGGACTTTTCCTTTACTGTTAGATACTTACAAACACATATAAGGTTTGATTTCTGTAATTGGTTCATTCAAAAATGTTAATCGTTTTGTGACCTTAGAACTGTGCAAAAAACTATATATTTACCAGATTATTGAATATTTAATCAGAATTTATTGAAACAACCACCATTTAGGATAAATAAGAAAAAAAGCCTCTTAAAATAGAATACTCACATTTGGATTCTACTAAGTATGGAACAGACTTGCAATCGAATATATGAAGATAAGGAAATGTCAACACCAGTCATTTTTTCTGATAACCACATGAACTAATGTATAATACCATTAAGTATTATCTCAGTAATCATATATATGATTAAAAGTAATTCTGTCTGAACAAAATGACCTTTACATCCAATAGGTAACTTTAGATGTTAGAGAAATCCGGTAAAAATATTAACACTGAAATCAATCCTCTTGAACTGACAACTACTAACTAGGTTTTAGTTTTATCTCAGATATGTGTTGTGGTGATATACTTGACAGTTAATAAGTCATTAGGAAGGTATAGAAAAACTCAGATATGACATTTAATGAGTGAACATAAAGGTATATCTGATCACTAGTTTGAGTCCTATCTTCAGGCCACTTATGTCGAAAATCAAGCATTATCTTTGGATATTTTGATGCAGTCGTTCTGTTGCTTTATACAATCACTCCAGTGATCAGTACAATAAAACGTATTTACCGTCCTATAGGTTGTACTCTATTTCCATCGCGACGTCAATAAAATACTCAGAAAGATAGTTTTCACTGAAAACAACGTATGGCTTCGTCAATAAAAACTGTAAGATAGTGCGTTTAACTAATGTTTCTGAATTTTCTTGATCAAATATGAAAAAGAATCCGTAGTAAACGGGATCTTACCAGTTCACTTTATAGCTGATATTTCAGAAATGACGGATTTTAAACAATAGTATTTGTTAAGGTCATTGTGAACTTCATTCAAACTTTATTATTATTGTCATTATTATTACAGTAGCTGATTCCTCACCTCTTGACGTAAGGCAAAGGCATTCGTAATAATAGTTATGAACTGTTTTCGTCTAGAACCATCATACAATGAATATAATACTGCATTATACATCCTGACACAATCAAAAAGTATTTACTTGGCATCTCTACGAAACAGTATACAGTAAAGGCTATTAATTACTACGTAAACATTTCACTGAATATTCAGTCATGTAATTTACTGCATGGTCTGTAAGACGAACAAAATTTCAGCGCATATTAAGATGCATTCACACAGCTGAACCCGGTATCCATCCACAGAGATAAAAATAATCTTTATACTTTCTGGTATCAATACTTCACAACAAGATATTGATAACACATGGGAATGGAATCCACTTTTCCTAACAGAAAAAGACTTTGCATAATTTCAACAGATACAACTTGTAATTCCTTAGAAAGAAATAATTCAGTCAATCAAACTAGACATTAGAACCATATAAAACAGTTTGTTTTCTATATATATACTTTGATAAAACCATTAGAAAATGCGATTTGTTTGCATTCTGTTATGTACTCACATAGCACATTTAAAACAATTTATTCTCACAAATACTTCTCACCACTATTTATATCAAACGTTACAAGGATACAAAGGTTAGGAATATGATAAATGATCGAGTTGGAAGGATAAGTTGGAGGCTAAACTAACCATCAAAATCAATCGATTAGAGTGAAATTGAATGAAACATTGAGATTGGTTTCAAAATCAAATTCACTGAGGAAGGATTATTGTGATAACAGATAGTATCTGAAAACATAAAGATAGCTTGGACTTCGTAATAGCTTATGTCTTGATAAATTTTGGAATACGTTCTTAACAAGCTAATTAAACTGGTCTAAACGATGTAGAAGCATTAATCCTATGATGTAATATTTCAATGATCTTTCTGAATGTGAAGAGCTTGAATGTCTCTTAGCAGTGTTTATGGGACCACGTGATCGGATTTGCTTTTAAAGCCACTTTAGGACATACCTTCATGGAAATATGAGTCATATGTGTAAAATGTAACCAAGCGTATATCTAAATTTGTAGACACATTGGAATATGGTATTTAACATGCTCTAGGAATATAGAACTGAATACAAGCTTGGCACATTTCTCTAACCTGACCTTAGCTACATAAGACATCCTTCCAGTAGCAATACTATTTCTTCGGGTTAGGATTGAGAGTCTTTTCTATGAATGCCTGATGCAGGTGTCTCTATTTGGAACTAAGTCAATAGTACGTATTAATGCTATAGTCAAAGTTAACTGACTGACAATGTCGGTGAATATTTATTTTAAAACACTGTTTTAGTCATCATTCTTGTATTGGTTACCAAAACATTGTTTATATTATAATCGTTGAAACCGATCGAATCAGCTGCTGACTAGCACTTGCTTTAACTGAACCGGAAAAAATGATCACGATTCATTTCCTTATTCATATGGATCTAGTGAAGACAGGTCTTTGCCGATTCATTCTTCTGTCCACTTGAGAGTATGTTTAAGAGAAACAAATAATCCTATTCACCTTCTATAAACATCAAGAATATGCTGTTCTGTGCTCCACTAAATGGGTTTGGAATTGAAGTGAGATAACTTGAATGATCACAGGCAATTCACATATGATCGACGTATCTTCGATGCAAATGAGGTTTTTCAGTCACGTTCTATCGTTGATTTTCCCACGTACTAAAAGTAGGCCCAAGGGACTTGGCATTTTGGTCTAATTAGTCTTATGAAAATGTTCATCCTAGAATGTCAGTTCAATGTAGTTTCTCGAGGTAACCGAATGGAATAAGTCTGTGATAATGACGATGCTGAATACAATACGACAATTAAACTACATAAGATAACGACTGTTGACTGAGCCACGACAATATCAGAAAACATAGACTAGTCGTAGACAGTAAGAACAACTTCACCCAACGAAAACAGATCATATGTATGCAGCTTTCACAAGTATAAAAATGCGCAGAGTCCAAGATCAAATAACTTAACCTCATTAAAAAACAATTTTAACCGCTTCCTATCAAGTATTGCATTAAAAAGTAGGTCTTTTAGGTGATTCAGGAAAATATGCATAGAAATACAATCAGATAAGGTATCAGCTGTCTCAGCCAAAAGGACATTAACAATTAGAAATTTTACGCCAAATAAATAAGTCTATTTTTATGTCAATAGGATCAAATTATTTGATTACTCTGAATGTATTTTTCAGAGTATACTTAAAGAATGGTGATATATCAGTCTGGAGAAAATACTATCTTGAAATGAATCAAAATTGTTTCTTAACTGATTTCTCTAATTACGCCATCCGTTAAGGAGGCTTATGTGTTAATGATCGGTACATCTTTATTTTCATTAAACGACGTTAAGGTTTATCGGATTCATGATTCTGTTTAACATAGTGTAATACCTGTAAGCACGAGTTGCACTAAACAAATTTCACAAACCCATATATATATATATATATATATATATATATATGTATACTGTTTTTAATTTTTGATTTAGGTGCAATACTGTTTGGCGTACATGTTAAACACTGGTCAAGATCGATTGAATTAGCTGAAACGATATCACGTTATATGAGAGGATGTAATCTATTTTTTAACATTCTCTTCTATCGCTCACCACAAGCCCCCCGGGTTGCTCAACCAGTAAGGTAAGTTATGTATTAAGTTTACAAAGTTGGCTTATTTTCGTAAATGAATCTTAATTAAAATGTATAACTATGTTCAGAAGGCAGTATTTCTTACCAGTCCAGTCTGCTTACTTATACGAAGTCGAATTAAGCCTCACCGACAAAAGTGCAAAAAACGTTGTTGATCCAGCACTGTAGGAAATAAACTTGGCTTTTGGAAGCCTGATATTTTAGACATCTTTTTAAAAAAATAAATATAGCCGAAGCATTAGAATTGCATTTCAAAGGAAAATAAATCAACGTTGTTTACCACTCTCTATGTATGCTGTCTAGATCTTCACTTGTTCATGGGACTGACTATGATATCTCTATTACCATAATTCAGTACACTAGAGGGTAATTTTAATTGAGTAATCAATTAAGGAGATTCCCAAGGTATAGGATGTTTGGACAGTCTTTTCTGCGGTTCATTTCTTTTGGCTGACGGTTTGACAACCAGGGAATCTTTAAATATAAGAATGACATTTTGACATAAGATTTTAAACGATCATTAAAAATACCGATGATTAAGTTTACAACTGAGAAAAAAAACCATTAGGCAAGCCCAACGCAAAAATCTATTTCGTTTTGTTAGTTTAGTAGTATGCCTTTCTCTTCGTGAATCCTAATACTAATATTTCCGGGTAAGTATTAAGTCTCTTTGAGTGTCGCACTGCGAACTGAGTTGCATAGCTCTGAAAATGAATTTGATCGCCTTAAGATTAATTTTATAGCCTTCTAAACTGGGAATATCAACAATAATGGTGAAATTTTAGTTCTTTTTCTCCCATCACAGAAAACTAAACAGTCTACAATTGATAAAGGAGAGCAGTTCAAGAAGTAAACTGTTTAATCGTTCGCGCTTACAGCTTTCTAAACAAACATAATGGGACTTCAACTGCTTTTGAATCCAATCCTGTGATAGCATTGTACATCTACTTGCAGTTATTTCAGACTTTCACGCACTAAATTATTCCGACGCCTCAGCTCAGAATATAGCATCTACAACCTGATCATATGTCTGAAGATTGCGATTTGTCAAGCCACCCCTAAGAAAATGTCTTGGATTTAGAAATGATGCTGATAATTCTATCCAAAGGCTAGCTAAAATGCCATACAATGAAAAAATAAATATTTAGTTGGTGTTATGTTCTCTGGTCTATAGGGTATAAACGCAAAGCTTTTGTTGTCATTTCAATCAACCTTAAAATGAAGTGGGTTACAGGAATTTATCTGCGAATGGTTAAATAGCTTGACTTTGAGGGTGGTTGGTTGTTTCTGCAACAATCTTGTCATTGTTTGTACACATATTTTGACTGACTGTCCTGCTCATCTGAGCACTGAAGTTCTTGTTGTCACTCATATTTCTTATTGATTGATAAACTGGGTCAATGTCAATAAACCAATCGAACACTGACCAGTTTGAGTTCTGCCAAAATGGCTAGTTAATGCCTTAATCACTATAGTGTTTCATTCGATCTACAAAGGGTTTAATTTTCTCAGAACATAGCATCTTTAGTTATTTTTAAGTTCGACGCATTACCATTGCATCCATCGAAATCACAGATATGAAACCTTTATTTTTTTATTAGTTCCAAGTCATAGTATTAATAAAAATTCCTAGATTCTCTCTAGGTTATTTACTTGTGTTGCATTGCGTGTATTTTTCCAATTAGAAAGCGTTAGCAATTTGAAGTACTGAAAACTACTTATGCATCAACAGAACACCTTCTACTGAATACTTGATATCTTTAGTAGCATAACATTGTATTTGGCTAGATACTGAATACATATCAAGCTTTCTCCTTTCTCATTTGACTTTTACTTTTCATATGAGTATTTACAGCATTTTTTACTAACTCATTTTCTTGCTTCCCCTATAAACATTTCTGTTTACTTCATTTCCTGAAAAGAGGTCATCTGAAGTTTTTTCACATACTTGTTATTAATTGAATACATTAATTACTGATTTCCATATTTTTAAAAGATATTAGACAAGTAAATTAACGTTATTAAGGTATGATAGTATCTAATGAAATCACGTTTTTCTTACCTAGTTTATTCAGTCATGTGGGTATGATTAAAAGTAACCTGGAAATCGATTTATACTTAGTCACAAGACATATAAAATGAAGCGGGCATGTAAAAAGTGATATTTACTTTAAGTAGTTATTCATCGTAGACTGATATCAGTTGTAGGAACAAAGGAGACCTGGAGAACTGGACAGCTGTTTCTTCCTAGTATGGGACTTCCAAGCATTGCGCACCCACAACCCCACCAGGAATCGAACTCGTGACGTTCAGGTTCCGTGGCCAATGTGCTATCATTGAGCCACTGGGTCAGAATCCAGTGCTCCATATTTCCAACTTCAAGTCCAAATTCAATTGAACTGGTGCTCATTGGTGACTAGCTTCAAGAGGTATTCCTGAAGTTCCAGTGAGAAGTCGTAACCAGTGGAGGCAAAGCCTGAAGGTCGTCAGGATAGTTACTCAACGATAACATTGGGTGGCGGTTGCGCTTTGTCATGAGCCAACAGGAGTTGGAAACATAGACTATTGGATTCTGACCCAGTGGCTCAATGGCAACGTGCTGGCCACGGAACCTGAAGGTCGCGGGTTCGATCCCTGGTGGTGTTGTGGGTGTGCGCTGCTGATGAGTCCCATACTGGGACAAAACAGCTGTCTATTGCTGCCAGGTTTCCTTTGTTCCTCCAAATGATATCAGTCTACGATGAATAACAACTTGAAATATTTTCAAATCTCCACAACTCCATCAAAATTCAATATTTACTTTAAACCAAAGTAGTTTACGATGGAATTTTAAATCGCAGTTGATGTTTTATCCAAGTAAATAACATTTCTAAACTGTTAAATATATGTGACAGCGGAAACGAATGCCAGTTGGTTACTCTGAAAACAACTGTATAATCATTAGTTGCACAAATAAGCCAGACCGGAAAAAATAACTACTATATTGCTATGTATTTGAATGATGAAAACATCTACATATTTGTAAATAACTGAAGAAAAATCAATTTCACTATTTGTCTAGTAATGAAAACTACTTATTAGGCTGATTAGTTAAAATATGGACTATAGGTCTGAATTTCCATCACTTTAACGGATCTCCTTTGAAGTTTGTATGACTTCTACGATATTGTAATGGGTTATCTAGCACATCTAGAATTCATCTTGGAGATTTGTGGGGACTTAATGATTTCAAGGTGATATTCATCAAGAACTAACATCATTTGAAGAATGAACGCCTGTTCCTTTCACAATGACAGAATTAAGAAGCGGAGGACCATTGGATTCTGAACCAGTAACTGAATGATAATATACTCACCGTGAAACAATACTTCTTAACTCAGTCAATTTCGTAGTCTTCAGTGTACACCGTTAAGAAGTCACATGCTACAACTAAATAGCTGTTCAGTTCTCCCAGGCTTTCAGTGGTTCTCTAACCGATTTCGTTGAGAAACTTAAGCTAATCAAGAACAGATGGAACACCTTATCGGATTCTGAATGCTGACTGTACTTTCTTTACATCACCAGGTAAAAAAAGCCTATTATTTCTTTGACCTGAGTATATACTGAACAAAATTTACTCTTGCCTTTCAGATAACTAACTCATACCGAATAGTGTGTTACTGTTGCTTTGGAAAACCTTAGATATTCAGAGATTTAGTGACAAAAGTTTTAACTTTTGGATCCTGAAATGTTATGTTAAGAACATTTTCCTTTATAGTTTTCAGAAGTGCTGTAAATAGGTATATATATCATAGAAAATTCAGAAATGTTCACTTGACTTTCTCTCTCGATGACTATCGTCAACTCAATACAAAATGTACCGATGACTTCCTGCGTAAAGTGTCCTTTCATCTCCTTTACTTATTCATCTTTGAAAAGTCTTCTCTGAATTCCACGTTTAGACTGAGAATTCAGTTGGTTTAGTGAGACATGCTGTACAATATCTATCAGTTCATCTTAGGCTCTACTAACTCCATTTACCTAAATAAAAGTGTTTTTAGCCCTACAGTTGAAATTGACATACTCTTGACCTCAATTACAAACTCTCATCATCAGCGTTTACAGTGCAAGTTAACTGTCTGTTAACCAATTCATTATTAGTGGAATAGCATACCAATAAATGAAATTACTTGAAATATATATTATATGTAGTTACTCTGCAGATAAAAAAAAGGAGTTGGCTGAAGAAAACTACGAACAATCAATTGCCCAGAGTGTATAAATGTGGAACTCCAGGATACAACTTGACTACTGAGTGAAAATAAATGAAATGGTCAACTGGAGATAGTCATATAGTTAAAGCTTTCCTGGGAAGACTCAAGGTATCGACAGTAAAAACAGAGCCAAATATAAACTGTTGAGTGAACCTTAATTTTCCTCCTTAATACACTTTAAGAAAATAGTGCGAAAGCGTAATTGGTTTGCATTGTTATGTGCTCACGCAATACGTTTAAAATAATCTGTTCTCACTAATGTTTATATCAAACGTTACAAGGAGACAAAGGTTAAGAATATGATAAATGATCTAGTAGGAAGGATAAGTCAAAGAGTGCAACTGAATGGTACATTGAGATTGGTTTCAAAATCAAATTCATTGGGAAAGGATTAATGTGATGAAAATATCGTATGTGAGCACAAAGAGATTGTCCAAGCTGCATAATAGCTAATTTTTTAACGAATATGAGAATTCTTGCTCAACAGGTTTTCTTGATCGGCGTAAATGATGTGGAAACATCAATCTAGTATTATGTCATTGAAAAAGATTAAAGCTTTGCATGAAAGTTAACTTCTATCCTTGGATATATTGGTCAATTATTCGAATGAGAAATTTGTTTAAACTAACCTTCTCATTTGTGTTTTTTACTAACATTTGTAGAATTAAATAACTTTGGAGATGGGTTATACTTGTGCATGGTGGAAACTGCTTACCAAAGACTTTGATTAGCCTTATTCTGTTTATCAACTACTTAATGTCTACCATGGTAATTTCGTCAATCGATGTATAACTAAACCAGAAATATATGGACGAGAATTCAAGATTCTGAAAAGCTATTGGTTGCTTCATATTCCCTTCAATTTAATTACTCTCAATTAAACCTTTACTGTCTATCTCATATCGTTAAAGATATTATTGACTTTTTCAATTGAGATAGCATCTATTATTCAAAAGAAACAGATTTCTGAGGCTTACAGGATGTAAATATATTCAGCAGTATACACTTTGTTTTCAATTTCTATGCATCCTGTCTAGCCGTAGAAATAGCCTCATTCGATAGTAAAAAATAATAAACGACGGTTGAGCGAAGAAATGTTTCTTTACGACGAATCATTTTCAGGAGCTATACAATCGTAATCATACATGGAACAAAATATATATTTCCATCAATGGCTAATAAGTCAGTACAAGGTCATTACAGGTTATCTGTAAAGTCACAAAAGTGATGAAAACTAGAAGGTCAACTCAAGGTTATCAATAGTAGCTTATAGGATTATAGTATATAAACAAAGAATAAACTGTTTTAACGACATTATAATTAAAGCAAAATTAGAGATTGAATGTATTTCTTTTAAATACAAAGATCAGATTTGTAACGCTGAATTGTCAAAGCCTCTATTGTATCAAGTTGGCAAATGAGCACTGCCTTCGAAATGTTTGACTTTGAAAGAAGACTCTTGTGGAGCACATCCACTGTAACTATATTCTCAGTAAAAGTGGAAATTCGGTGCTAAAATAATGTACATGGTAAAAATTACATTCCGCACTAAGAATATAGATCATACTTAATAAATTCATAAGTATAATTATAAGATGACACGAAAGTTGTTTTGTAAACCATACCTTTTCTTAACCCTGTTTTATCCCTTCTTATCGCATAGATTAATACCAATCAGTATAAATCTATCTAATTTCTCTACCAGTACTGAGGCAGCTGTACATTTAGTCGAGAAAATGTGGATCTCTATTGAACAGAAGTATGGTCGTCTAGCTGTAAGATTACAGTGGGCCAGTAGGGATGTATACGGTAAGTGAAAATGCATTGACGTAGCTCATATATATTTTATTATTAAACAGTCACAACCGCTGTAAAAATTATGAGTATGCCAAAAATCAACTCGATTATTTCTTGTTGATAATTTGAAAAACTACTGAATGTAAACTATGATTGATTAAATGCAAAAATTATATTTTGATTGGTTCTGTATTGAATAATGTGTATATAACTTGTCGTTTATCTTCCAAATCGATTGATTTCCTTGAAGAATTGCAGAACTCTAGAACCGCTTAAGACTTTTGATACACCTAGTCGTTGGTTGAAAACAGACATGAAGTATTGAACCATGTAGATTGAATGTGAATACTAAACATCAAACGTATTTGCTCCTAGATGATGAGGCTCATTTTTAAGTAACCATGCTCCAAACATCAGTTCAGATTGTAGAAAGATATCGTTTTTATTGTGAATACTAAATTATATACACAGTCTAGTACTACTGTATTCAAATCATATTAATGCAAGTTGATGAAGAGAACTTAAGTCTTACAGAACGTACAGATTATCTGTAGACTATGGCATTTTGATATCCCTCAAAAGACAAAACTTAGATCACATAATCATATATGACGACTTAAAAAATTAATACGTCCAGTAAAGTTAAAAATTTACCTCAAATAGTACATCATCAGAAACAATAGGCGCTTAAAAAGTACAAGTTTTATGAATCCGATGACTTACATGCTGTGGTACTGCTTTTGCCTCTAATAGGAAATGCATGTCTGTAGAAAAATCCTGCTTTCACTCAATGACAACGTTCAATATGATTTTTAATATCATCAAATGAGCATGTGGTAAAGCATAATTTCTTACTTCAGAAGACAACATAATGGATAGGCTTTCCTAAAAAAATATTTCACTGTCAAAAATCTCCTTTCAATCTCATGTCAGTCATCAGTTTATTAATTAACAGCAAAACTGAGATATATGATAAGAGGTAAAAATCATATAACTTAATTTATTGAGTGGACCACATGGTTGAATATTACTGTTTAGTGGATTAGTTTTCGGACACAATTTATTGCTTATAATCATCAAGAAAATTCCACAGCTTTGAAGTATAGTTTGTATGGTTCTAACTCTCTCGCCATGGTGATATAAGTAATACGATTATCCATATATTCGAAACAGGTGCTGAGTTCCTCCTGTTACATTTATTATGTGCTGATTCGCTAAACAAAGATCTAGTTATCAATCTCTCCCACCACCTGACTAAGTTAACCTAAGGATTATATATCTGTCCCATCTAATTGTTTGGCTGTATGCATTTGCATGTATAGCAATGGACCAGCATTTTTCTAGATTCCTTATCTTACCTTAATCTTCGAATCGTGACTTAGCCAGACTTTTATGCTCAGATTGTCTAAATGACCCTGGTCGACTACTTTAACCTATGTATCTGACCTCTCTTACAATCATAACATGGTATAGAAATTAGTTGATGGAAAATAAGCCATAAAAGACACTAATTAGAAGCATACATTTAAAAATAACATTTCTAGGATAAGCTTCAGAAAGCACTGACCACCACTCGTAAAACGGTTTTTATAACATTCTGACAAATCAAATTTATTTTCAGGCAAAAGAATATAAAATTTGTTACCAAATATCAAAATCATGTCTTGCTCATATTAGCTTCAGCTGTGGTCAATCCACTGAGTGAAGCAACTGCAACCTTAACAAAACAATAAAGACATTTTATCAAGCTTCCTATTATAAATGAATACTTGGTGATTTTTTTAATGCTGGCAAATATGTCTATAAGTTTGTATTTAAGTTCTAAGTACACTAGCATGAATATTCACTAAAACAACTCAAAGAAAGTAGTTTGAAGGATTTTTATTCAAGAAAAGTCATGCATTATTTCATGTTTTTTTTAGCCTGTTTCCCGGTTTCTAAAATGCCCATAAATGATTCATATTATGAACAATCTATATCAATTTCTTATACTTTTACTAGCGTTGGTTACCTAACTTAAGCATTATCTCATCTATTTCTATCTACTTTATTAAAAAGTTATATTTCTGAAATGTTTTGACTGCACTCACCTGTAGTTCATAGACAGGTATCCTTGAAATGAATAATTTTTGTACTAGCCTGTTAGATTTACCATTTATGTTTATACTCATAAAACAATTTATTGCACAACATGAATAATTCATCAAAAGTTTTTCTAAAAAAATTAATGTTCTACAGTGCTGCCATAATAGATAGCCTAATTGAAAGAATAAATAATAATGAATAAATTATTCTTTGTCAGTATCTATCAATCTTATGTTTAGGAAAAGAAGCAGATGTTTTACACAGACAATCAGATCAACTAATTAACTAACTTTTTTTTGTAACTAGGACAACCTGAACACAATCATTTTACATCCTTTACATCCAATTTTCTTGTAACTATGAGTACACTCAAAATATTCATATAGAATTTCATTGGCTTTAGTTCAATGAAGTAGATATTTTCCAGTTGCTTAGTTTAATGGAAGAGTAACTAACCACAGACAGACTTCCATTTAGGAATACGTTATGGAAGCATCAAGGCTCTGAAGGTAATGAACAGTCATTATTCTTTACATTAACACTCCTTGGAAATAAACTTAAAATACTTTACATTAGACTGATTTCAGTTTTGTGGCAGGTAAATTATCAGCGTGAAAAACTATTGACGATAGAAATATTAATATGTTGAAAAGTGTTGACTACCTTTGCTTAACTCATCATTTAAATAACCAGTGATTGGTAAGTATTATCAAACAGCCTTAAAGCGTTCTTAAATTAAGTCTGATAATACAAACCGTATAGTAATGTCCGAAAATCCTGGTCTACTGAATTTATTTCTTATTAACATTTTGTAGCGTATTGCTAAATAACTGACATCACAACTGACCAGTCATGTCACATGTTTCTTGACTGGAACTATATGTTGTGGAAAACAGTCTCATTACATCGCGAATGTACTAAATTTCAATAAAACTGTTCACATTGCTCAACAGAATTTACGAAACTCTTAGATGAAAAGTAGTGTCTTGCAAGTTCAGTCTAAGAAGATATATTCTGGTTGAAAGTCAATCAGAAATTTTCAACTTCGACAATTCGCCATCTGGTTCTCATTTTTTTATTGTTCAATCTTTTTCAAGTTCACAAATCTACCACTTATTCTTTCTTGCGGTCATCGTAAAATACCGAAACGTAATGATAAAGGGTTTAAATGTGAATTGGATCCATGTTTTGTGTAGGTTTTGCTTTAAATGTGTTTCACTTATGCGTGGAAATAAAGATGATCATCAGGAACTGTTTACGATATACTTGTCGTATCAAAAACAAATACGGTATGAAACACACACCAAATACTTGGAAAAGTCATAAAGATCCAACGCATAACTTGAGTGGATAGTATACCCTGAGACCTTTTAAGATTTTCACCATCCTAAATGGATGATTGAACAAACAGATTGAATAGAGTTTTAACGAATACACTGTTATGCTATTAACAGCTCAAAAATACTTAAACTCTGGAAATGATCACCATATTAGCTGTTTTGTTACATCCCCTGTAAAATACACTATCTCATATTGTCCTTCACAATCACCCACAGTTATAATGGCTTTGGGTACCATTAGATGGGTTCCATATAATGAATATTGAACAAAACCAGAGATGACTTGAAAACTGAATTCCTTTCACCATATATATCACCGTATATATATATAAACCGAAAATCTCATAGAAACTACCCTACTTAGTAGCGGATTGGCAGATTTTGACCCCCAGAGTTTTTCTAACTACAAAAGTAATCACACTTATCTCTCATATTGTAAAACTTCAAAGACAAATCGTGATGTAAACATGGAAGAGGTCGGACAGATTTTCCGTTACATATGTCTATGCGCCACAGAGAATTCTCTACTCCTTGTTATGAAAACACCTTTATGAATTTTGTTTGTTTTATTTCAGGTGATTCTACAAAAACTTACCGTAAAGTTTGTTGCCTTCCATCATGTTTATGGGTATTTGTCAATATAATCACTCTACTGAGTATGACTACACTAATTGCAGTTGACCATTCATTTTCATCAGCGGAGAATGGTAGTAAAACTTCGACTACAAAAATTGATGGTGATGGAAACACTTTGACAGAAAATTTAAAAGTATTTATTATTGTTTGTGCTGTTATATCTGGGCTAAGCTTTCTCATCCTGATTGCAGCTATAACACCAGGGATGTTAAAATTGTTGCATGGTCGACCATTTCAGCATCCAATCAAAAAACCATTCTATCCAGATCTTGAAAGTTATACAGACATTACACTGGATAGTTGTTATGGTAACAGTATACGAAAATTGTATCCAGAACATAATTGTATTGAAACAAACCAATGTGGTAATGGAGGTGGAGCTACATGCTTTACTTACGGTAAGTCTTATTGGGGTGGTTATTTCCCACTGGATTACCATTATTCAAAATAATATGAAGAGGTACATCTTTTTACATTAAGTCAGTTATTTGTCCACTACTGGAGGGTTCCTAATCCCTGTCTTACAAAAACAAACACGTTTTGTCACATAACGAAATTATTTTACTGGAGCTTCTATTAACAAAACGTTTTAACTGAACGATTTAAAAAGTCTTCATTTAAAAATTAGTTCATTATTTAGATTTTTAAAATTAAATTTTATTACAGAGAATAAAAAGCTAGTGGATTTACTTGTTCCAGGTTTGTTACTCCTTATAAAGTAATTTAACCGGCTTGACTAGATTTCACATTTTATCTTTATTGACGAGCTTCGGAAGGTGACATTATCATCATTTGTTCCAATATATGCTGATTTGCCCAAACAAAGAATATTATTAGGTTATTCTAAGCAAGTGTAGGTTAAATGACTACCACTGGAAAACTGTATCAATTAGTTCTAAATTGAGGTGCATATAGAAACTCCTTTCTATCAACTGAGAGAAAAAACTCAAAACTGAATAAAAAATCTTCGCTCATTATTAAACTATCCCAGTGTACTAGGCATACATTCAATGCTGAGTTAATAAATGTACATATGAGACTTTCATGATGTCGAAGACATTTTCAGCGCATTACTTCCCCAACAATAACCACAATGACATTTTGTTGGAGATTAATATTATTAGCATTTTTCTCTTGGATCCTAGGGGAACATAGGGCTTCAGTATCAGGTGGCCATTTAACTCTCTTCTCTGCAGTCTTTTCAACCTCGCTCCACGACTACATAGAAGCTTTCAATTCTTCCTCGTACCATCTCCTCCATTCCACCCTCGCCTCGTGCGCCCAACTCATCGTTTCCCATTTGGCTTCTACTCGAGAGTCTGGCCTCCCGCGTGATATCCCCGAATAGTCTCCTCAGTGTATGTCTAATCCAATCCATCTCCAACTTCTGCATATTTGTTGGACGATAGGTTTTTGCTTTGTTGGCTCGTTGCCAGCCAGAGTTCCTTGTTACTTATTCTCATTACTCTGGCCATCTGATCTTCAGTATCGAGCCAGCGTAAGCGGCAGCGACAGCTGTAGATGAATGTCTGTAGCTTGTTGGAAATGCTCTTCGTGACGCGCCAAGTTTCTGAACCGCATAGAAGCTCTGACTTGACATTCGTGTTGAAAATTCGGATCTTGTTATTTGTGCTGAGTGCAGTCGATATTCACACTGATTTCAGATTAATGAAGAAAGACCTATCTTTCTGTCTTTCCGATCCTGGTTTTGACGTCCACATCTGTTCCACCTGTAGTTGAAACGATGCTGTCTAGGTAGGTGAAGAGACTACTTGCTTTAGGTTTCTCCCGTCGATGGTGATTGGTGCTTGTTGTTGTTGGTTGGGTATCTTCATCACCTCTGTCCTCTCTAAGTTCACCTGAAGTGAGAACCGTCTTCCTTCGCTGCCACGCCTCTTCTTCTATCTAGTTGTTTTTCGTTCCTAGATCTTCGACTTTGTGCGACATCAGACATGGCTCATAATTATCGGCGAAATCCAAATCTTCTAGGGTTTTTTCATTGGTCCGCCCAGCGTATGCCCCTCCTCTCGCTCCTCACCGTATGTGTAATAGTGCTTATTTAAAAAACTGAAATTCATTCAGTACCGCTGGGGATACTCTTACAGTAAGCAGTAAATCACACCTACTGTATGAGGGCCAATGAATGTTACCGCATAGGTAGCCAAATTTAGTGAATGCAGCAGGGTGACTGATTGGTTGGAAGTCAACTCCCTAGATCAATGAGCCACTGCTCTACATAGTTCCATCAGAGTATATGCTTTAGAAACTAGTAAATGTATTGTTAGAAGTATAGGCACTGTCTTCCTGATGGACTGTAGCCAGTCACACTTTATTTTCTAACACCAACAGGTTAAATGCGGTTTCTTAATTATTACCTCAGTGACAACAGCAATAAAACTAACCATCTTAACTTTTCTGCGAACCCTCACGGTTTACAACAAATCAAGCTGGTACATCGTTTATTTAAATAATGTTTTGTGTGATACCTGAGTTTTAAAAGACAACGAGTTACTTCGGATGGCATTTCTGCTCAAGTTGAAAATATTCCATCATTTCATGTAGTGTGTTTGCATTATTTATGAATAAATTGCAGATATTCATCTTTCATCTGATTGCTAAAAGAGAATAGCTATGACCTGAGGAGGACAATCAATTTATGTTTACTATCTTAACTTGTTTCTTTTGTAATAAACGTTGTGAGTCTCTGATGATAAATTTCATACACTTCTACTTTATATACAATTATCGACTGTTTCATTGTATTGTACGTAAGCAACACGATATCCTTAATTTTGTGTTCTTTTCTACCAATCTATGATAAACTGAGATAATGAAGAGATGTAAATGAAGATGAAGCGAATTACATTCAACCGTTAACAGTTAAATATCAATTTTTATTTGTATCTTATGAATGACAGACATGGCCTCTTACTGCAGACCAAAGCCTCCTTTTTTCAAACATTTGCTTAATTATAATGTTGGTAGTTAGGTGAGAAATAAATACTGTTAATTTCCTATTGGGAAAAGCTGAGAAATGCACACAGAGTAGTAAACTAACAATGAATGCCAGGTTTAATACATTTCGTCAAAGCGGAATTCCAACTGTCGATGCTATTCAAGTGAATTTCTAGGATGTAAGGCGCCAGTTTCTGTTTGAACTAAAAAATAAATAATACATCAAACCTAACGGAGGATATGATCTCTGTTACTAAAGCTTCACAATTAAATTAAAAACTGTAGAATAGGAATTATACTAAATCCCTTTTGACAAACTTCAATAAATAAAAATAATCAACAACAAAGATTAAAGCTTTACTGTTTACAAAGTCATAAATTTATTCTGTTAAAACATTGATCATATATGCTCTGAAACATTAGATTAGCAGAAATCAGAAGGAAGATTGAGCTTCTTTGAGCTATGAAAATAACCAGTCAACTTACCACTGAATGTACAACTCGAATTCCCATAAACTACTGTTGTTTCGTACAAGCTTTACTTAAATATCAAAGGAAAAGTCTCATCAACGTCCAATTTCTTCACAAAGTGTTGATAGGTGTGGGTCGAATACATTCATTAGGCCACCTGAATCTGTCATGAGAACAGGGATGTTGGGCGTCTAGAATTTGTTCAGTTCAAATGCCTGCGTATCTACAACAACCAACTGGTATACGTCAACCTGGAACTATATCAGTAGCTTCAAAAGTACAGCAAAATATGGAGTGCTAGAATTGAAAAACTTTTGATGAAACTTGGATTCAAAAGCCCAACAAATATATTAGTGGAGTAAAACGTCACGGTATCCATGAGTTATATGTCAGCTGTAGACATTAGAAATGCCTATTATTTCAAGCAGTAAAGATTATTAGTGAAAGTGTGTTACCTACGGCTAAATCAATTTCTTAATTGACTTCCATTCACTCAAAACTATTTCACATCATCCAGCAATTTCAAAAAGATAATGTCACAATCACATTTCATTGACAACATAAGCACCCAATAAAACTCAAGGGCATTCAAATTATCTGTCCTAAGCAAGACTAAACATTAAGATACATAAAATGATGCAGATATTTCCATGAAAACGAATATGCTTCACTGACTAATCTGGAAATTCCACCGTAACTGGCTGAAGACGGTAAGTTGAGTGAATATTCGATAAATATATCCTATGAAATCACAGCGATTTACAGGTGAATTGATCTACATTCTGTCTTTCACTTGTTATATAAGAACGACTCACTAAATAATCACATGCACAGGAACTTCAAGTTAAGTTTAGTCACTATGCATATTTGTATTTGTATGTTTGTAAGTCAGAGATGAAACCTTGAAACATGCGCAGGCTTACTGTTCACCAATGTGACCGTTTCAATGCCGTATCACGTAGATGTAAGTTCTTAGGAAGGAGAAACTGATTTTTACAACCAACGAGGTTTTTAGAGTGGCATATTGTCACCATTATCATCATTGCTGCTTGGTGTTCAAACAAATTTGTTGCAAACAAGTGTGCTATTTCCTACATCCTAAAGAAATTTTATAATGGTCGTTCACCCGAAAAAAAAACCAAATGACTACTTATTTTCGCCATGGGATATCTCAGTGGAACATACGTTTTACAGACCACTGGATCTAAGAGATTGAAAGTAATCAGTTTGTCTAAGATTTCAGTAAACTTAGTTGAATTGAATTTTGGGGTTTGTGGGAGTTTAGAAATTTTCCATGTTGATATTCATCATGGACTGACACCGCACTATGTTGTGAACTAACAGAAGTTGAGAATATGGACCACTGGATTCTGACCCAGTGGCTCAAAGATAACGTGCTGGCCACTGAACATGAAAGTCTTGAGTTCGATTCCTGGCGGGGTTGTGGATGTGCACTTTGAAGAGTTCCACACTGGGACGAAACAGTTGTCCAGTGTTCCCGGATTTCCATTGTTCCTCGAAATAATGTGAGTCCATGATGAATATCAACTTAAAAGACAATATCCCACTCAGTATGTAGACCAATTCACCTGTAAATCGCTGTGATTTCATAGGATATATTTATCGAATATTCACTCAACTTACCGTCTTCAGCCAGTTACGGTGGAATTTCCAGATTAGTCAGTGAAGCATATTCGTTTTCATGGAAATATCTGCATCATTTTATGTATCTTAATGTTTAGTCTTGCTTAGGACAGATAATTTGAATGCCCTTGAGTTTTATTGGGTGCTTATGTTGTCAATGAAATGTGATTGTGACATTATCTTTTTGAAATTGCTGGATGATGTGAAATAGTTTTGAGTGAATGGAAGTCAATTAAGAAATTGATTTAGCCGTAGGTAACACACTTTCACTAATAATCTTTACTGCTTGAAATAATAGGCATTTCTAATGTCTACAGCTGCCATGCAA